TCATCAGGCAAATGGTCCTTATATCATTTTTAAATATCAACTCTCGTTAGCACTGAAATCACAAATTAGAAATCTGAAATAATACAGCGCCAACAACTCATCTGTGTGTACGTCTCCGTATATTCCAAAAATATTATTTATTTATTGTAATAAAGATAATATCATTAACTATGGAGGGCTGTTTCATTCGGTGGTGTGGGAAAAACAGCAAAACATCTTATTACCAAACAAACGGAATCACATTTCATCGGCAATTAAATATTAAATATGTAATTTTTCAATTTTCGTCCATTATAGCAAAGATTAAGTTAAACTGGTACATTTGAAGTGAAACAATTGATGACACCCGTCAATTGTTTCGATTCGAGCTGGCTAATCGGAGCGTAGTTGTCACCGTAATGATTTGGCAGAATAGTTTTGAAACAAATTAAATGACAAATCGTCTCTATTTCTGGTTATATACTCGATGTTGAGAGATAAGTCTCAAAAAATTAACATTTCTAATACTACCGTTACAGTACATGTATGAAAATGTAATTTATGTTGAGAATAAAAAAAGAATAATATTTTTTTTTATAAAAAATAGTGACATAACAGTGATACGACGAATGAAAGTAAACTACGTATTCTTGATAGTCGTCTTCACCAAGTCACAAATTCATTTAGGGGGCAATGTACACGCTTATTTTATTTATTAAGAAATGACCTACAATGTACGTGGTGAGTTATACATAATAAGAATATCGGTACAGCTATAGTACAAATCAACCACATCATCCACAGATTACCACAAATGTACAAAATTTTCAAATGAAGCATAATCGCTATATAATATAAAAAAGAAAAGTGTAATGCTGACAAAGAAAATAAATTTAAGAAACAATCAGACTTAATAACATTACTTTCAGTTTAAAAAAACCGTTTCACAATATCTACAGATCTTTAAGCAATGTTTTAGTAACCGCCTTCTTAAATTTATATTCAACAGACCAAAAATGTCTACTTCGCGACAATATTTCATTATAATTTTGAAATTACCGCCTTACGCTTCTATAATAACATTCCGGTTGATATTCAAAATTTGCAATTTACTGGGTTTACAACTACAGTGAAACAAAAACTTTATACTAAAGGTTCTGCGTACCTGAATGACAAAAATACGTGGTCGTGACCCGCTTAGTTCTTCCAGGTAGCCTCGATCTATGATGTTTGAAATAAATCTCGTAAATGATAAATGTGTACAAATGTATATTTACAAAGAGCAAACCTTAGATACACAGGGCGACTTTTAGCAGTGATACAAACGCGATGCAAAAACGATGCAGTCTAATCGTCCACTTCGCGTGTGATGCGCGCGATTGATGCAATAGCCTATAAATTACGAGTGTAGAGATGCAATTTTTGCAATTTATTTTAGGAATACGCGTTTGTATCTCTACTAAAAGTTACCGTGTGTAAAACTACTCTTAGTATTTCTTGCTCATTTTGCGGAGAAATAGAGAGTAGAATTTAATAAATATGACGATTTCAAGTATAATTTGCTTACCTATGACATAAATGTTATTTGAGTTTGACTTTACGCCTGACGTAAGCCATAAGTATAAAGAAAGAAACAAGTTCGGCATAGCATGCTTCTAATTACAGGTAGTCGAATGTTTCTACGAACTAGACATTTTTCAAAGCGAAAGGTTAGGTATATTTTTGTGCTTTTGTAACTTTTGTGTGTTTTTCATGCTATAATGAAAGAAGTTTTTATTACCTCATCCATACTTTGTCGTAGAAAGAATTATTACTCGATATTCTATACTATTTCAAAGAACAAACGATTCTTTGTTCAAATTATCGTTTATATATATCGCTCACATTTTTTTATCTATACTTGAATTATACGCTCATTAATAATATAATAATAACGTGGCAGACATTCATACCATTTAGATACTTGGTCTCAAACTAGGGAAATCCTCGTATTGTGAGTACAAGAGTAAGGGATTTCACTTCAGGATACTAACGAGAACACACAAACCAGAACCAATTTAGAATATTAAATAAGTGCGCATTTGACCTCCATGTCACGTGATGGAAAGTACCTATGACTATATCGAGTTCTTAGGTTTTCGCGATTGTTATACATAGGAATGAAACTATTTTTCCGGATTTAAATCGCGTATATTTGTTTTTTCAAACAACCGTGACCATGGGACCTGTAAAGGGCCCGAAACGTCGGTTTGTTTGAAAAAACAAATATACGCGATTTAAATCCGGAAAAATAGTTTCATTCCTATACCTATGACTATTCTATAGTGACTATTTTAGTAGTAGAGCTTCTTGTGAAAGAGTTCGTCCAAGGAAGTACTTACTACCTTACACTCTGCCGCCAAACAACAACGTGAGCATTACTGCGTTCCGATTTGGAAGGGTAAGGGTGCTGGTGAAATTAAAGGTACATGATACTTGTCAACTCATGTCTCTGGGTGGCGGGCGCAGTGGCAGTGCCCCTGAGATCTTTGTAACTTAAAGCTCTGAGTGGCACTGCAACTGTTATGGATAGGTTTGTCGCTTACGACGTGTTCATCCCGTCATTTGGTATTATAAATAAAAAACTATGAGGTCGACGATGCATGCACACCTAAATAATCCCTATTCGCTCTCACCTTGAAAAGATTAAGGTATAATGTTCAGAAAATAAGTCTGCATTCATCCTAAATTCCACTCCATAGCTGTTTGCCTTTAAACGGCACCGTCTGATGAAACGTTTCGCTTCCACGTTTAAAATATGGAAGCAAAACGGTCAGCGAATCGTTGGAATATCCACTATTTCACAAATTGGTCCCACCGGGATCAAATCCGGTACCTTCTCATCCAGCGCCCAAAATGCAAACTGTTGAGCGACCGACTATAGGTTGTCATTGCATGAGCTCATCAATCGCATTATTCGACGACCTCCGTGGTCGAGTGGCTTGCACACTGGATTCCATGATGTCGCCATCTCTGAGGTCCGATTCCCAACCGGGTCTATGTACAAAAGTTTTCTATATTGCCTCGAGTCTGGCTATTTGTGGTACCGTCGTTGTTTCCGATTTCCATAACACAAGTGCACTAGTTACTTACTTTGGAATAAGAGCAATGTCATGTTGTGTATTTACAATAATTTAAACCTCATTATTAAATATTTACATTGTATAAGTTATATCATAGCACTACTGAATTTACTCTGTACAGTACATTAAAACTGTTGCCAGTCATGGACGTCTAAGGGTCATCACACACTAACGTCGTGACGTCTAAAGGTTATCACACTTATAAACACAGAAACGGCTTGAGTCGATCAGAAAAAGCTTTATGTCCGTGCAATAAGAGCGAAAAAGACGTCGCGCGTTTCGCTTCCGGTTGGACCGATCGCGCCGATGCGTAATGAAGAAATGCTTTGTGCGAGAATCGAGTTTTGCTATGTTTTAATAATTTATAATTAAAAACCAACAACTTAATTATTCTATGGTATCGTGCCATACACGTCCTACTACTCTGCTCTCCTAGTCATAACAAACGCATCTGAAGAGTCCAGGGAAAGAATGATCATAGTCACTTGAGGAGAACTTTTGGAAAAAATATTTTTAATTTGGGAAACTGTTCAATGTTGGTGAAAAAGACATGCAAAATGTTACTTAAATTAAAGTCAATGTTGACATAATGTGTGTAACCTTTTATAACCCATTTTACTATAAAAACTTTTATTTATTTTATAAATTTATCGCTTGCTGAAAATAAGCGCCAGGAAACGGTTTTACGTAGCCGTTTGTGGCTAAAGCTGAGCAAGTCCCGATTGCACCAGGCGCGACACGCATGATGGTGAATTAGGTACTGCATAATTATATCAGTTGATTTAATTTAATTTATTATCATTATTATATTGTTCATTTGTTGTTTTGTTTATGTACGTGTCCGTGCTTGTGTAATAAACAGTTTTCTTTCTTTCTTTCTTCTTTCTACATCTTTTCCAAATTTTCTACCATTTAGTCTCAAGCATTTTATGCTTAAAACAAAAGTTATTTTTCAAGATATTGAATCTTATTAGACTTTCCCTGATTTAGGCAAAATACGAACAGCGTTTAACGAATTAGATGGTGGTATTAACTCAAAACATGTTTTTAGGTGACTAAAACATTTGCACCTAAAGTCTTTTTTTGCTAATAAAAAATGTTAATTACGTTGTTTTTGCTTAACAATAAAACTGAAACTAAATAAGATATAAAAAACCGCTTTATAGGTGGTTGTAGTCTTGTTTCGCTGATTCCAGATAAGTTGACTCAATTTCACTAAAAATGTTGATTATGTTTGTCATGATAACGAGGGAGGAGTCTTAAGTCTCGAGCTACTACGGACTATAAAATCATTTTGAAATCATTTATTGTCTCCACAAACAGTGCTTGTAAAAATAAAAATAGATGCTTTACACAACATCAAAATATAATCCGGTTGTGGAGGCTGGTCCCTGAAGTAGGAAAACCTGTATCTCAGGTAACCAGGTCTCCACCCCGCGTAGACATAGTAAATAATATTGAGCAATTAAACAAGTGAAAACAAAATGAAAGGAAAATAAAAAGAAAGTGAAATTTTAGATAATACAAATTTATGTTCTGATTAGGTTAAACTAAGAGAGTATAACAAAATGTTGTGTTTGTGTATTAGTGCGTGTATGAAAGTTTGTATTAGTTAATAAGTATATGTGAAGTTAACAACTATCAGCTATGGACCGATCAATAACATATTAACTATTGTGATAATTTTTATTTATTGATGAATATTAGGAAGGTATAGTTAGAAAACCTTCAGTTTCATCATAATTAAAACCTTTAAGCCAGTTTACTATCTTTTTCTTGCATTGGTATTTCGTTTGTAGTATTCTATTTACTTTATTATACAGATATGGGCCGATGAAGTAAGCGAAACTGTAAAAACAAAGACTATAAAAGTAAGATACCTAATTTTCGTTGTTTCAGCTGAACATGCAAGTGTCATGGGTGCGACATCGCGACATTCATCTACTGACCGTCGGTCGATACACATACACAAGTGATCAGCGCTTCAGAGCTATACATCTACCCCATTCAGAGGACTGGACTTTACAGGTTTGTTGTTCTTCTTCCGTTCTCCTTGACGACCTCTATGGTCGACTGCTTTGCACACTTTTTTCATGGTGTCACCATCTCTGAGGTCCCGGGTTCGATCCCCGGCCATTACAACTAACTTTCTATATTGTCTCGGGTCTGGGTGTTTGCAGTACCGTCGTTGTTTCCGATATCCATAACACGAGTACTTTAGTTACTTAAATTGGGATCGGAGCAACGTTCGTGATGTCTTGTATTTATATTTAGTATGTAATTTTCTTCTTTATACTATAGTGCTTGTCATTATTGTGAAAGAATTTGCCAATCGTACTCGCTGATTCCTGCCCAGGGCGCGCCAGACTTACTGGAATGGAATTTCGTGCACCCCATTTTTATTGCCTAACCTATCACGAGTGACACGTGATAGGTATTACAAGATCCAAGTCCAAGGTCCTTAACGATTTTGTCTCTAACGTGCAGCAAAAAATTATAAAAATTAAAAAAAAAATTTTTTTAGCAAATTCGTTAAAGACACGTGTGTCTAGGCCGCGTGATGGATCGTTATTTATTCTACTTTTTTCCTATCCATAATTCCAGTTTACCTACGATCAAACCTATAAGTTTATCGGCGTTAGATATCCCCTGTGTATTTGGTGAAAACTTTCACCAAATGTAATTACCTGTGTGCCTTTTGTGAATAAACTACTATGTCAACTTCTTCTGTCTTGGGTCTACGTAGGAATGTTTTAAGCCTTTTTGTTACCAAGTTGTTGTCTCTTTCTTATATACCTATATAATATCTTTTATTATTTTTCGATATCACTATTTTTAATTTTTTTATATGATGCCTAGTGACGGGCCAAACAAGTCGTGTCCATGATGGTAAGTGACACGGGTGTCCATAACAGTTGCAGTGTCGCTCAAAGCTTTAAGTCCGCAAAGATCTGAGGGGTACTGTCACTCCGCCCGTCATCCTGAGACATAGGTTGGTAATATCGCTGTAATTTCACAAGCACCCTTACCTTTCATAACCGGAACGCAGTAATGCTCACATCTGCCAACCACTAACTTCAACGCGGTTGAGTGACAAATGGTCAAATATCCGTCTTAATTAGAAAAAAATAAAGCACAAAATTGTCTTTGATTGCTTGGCGGCAGAAAAAGGTAAGGTGGCAGTACTTCCCTAAACGAACTCTTTCACAAGGAACTCTACTGCTTCTATTGCTAGTATACTTTAATAAAGTCTACTGGTAGTATTGTGTTATTCGGCAAAATTGATATTATTTAAATTTCGAAGAACAAAACTGCGTCGAGTTTCAATTTCGAAATACTTATAGAATAGAATTAAACCATTCATTATAAGTTGTTATGATTGCTACAATACCCTTGCCACAATTTTACCCAAAATTCTCCTCTGTAAATTGCATTCTCTATATCAATTTATTTACTAAGATTATTTTATTCGCCCGATATTCCCTCAAGTCGCGACCTTTCATAGTTTCCAATTATCTAATAAAGCCCTGTGTATAGATTTCATAAACGATAGCTTTAAGTCGACTGTAAATAATTAAGTGAAACGAAAAGCTCCAGTATGGTTAGTTTATATCGGAAGACCCCTTTGGGATCAACAATGATTAGAGCTAATCTAAAATGCAGAGGGAATAAATTACTATAAATATGTATTGTATAACTGAAATGTAAGTATAAAACATGTGGTCTAAGTTTATAATAATATCTAATTATATGCCAGGTGACCACATCAATTACCTGGTCTAGGAAACTAGGGAATTAACTGTCAACGGAAATCACTCCAGGGCATTATCCGGAACTTTTAGACCAGATTTAATATTCAGATCCAGATGCAACGTTGGGCCACCGAGGTGGTCAAATTGTACATAACAGTGAAGCTGTGTTTCAAAGAGATCGTCTTGGGAAGTACCGCCATATCTATTTCTGTCGCCAGACAGTTATTTCAGCATTACTGCGTTCCGGTTTTGAAAGTACAGGCACAGGGGACTTCTGAACTTTATGTCTCAGGGTGACGGGCGCATTAGCAGCGTCACTCAGATCTTTGGAATTGAAAGCTCCGAGTGTCACTGCAACTGTTACGAGTAGGCGTGTCACTTACCACCAGCCTCCAACCAAACCAAAAAAAATTAATCTACGTACATTTTTCATGTTTTTAAGTGTATTTATATTGATTTTGTTTATTGACGTTTTTGTGCATATTATTAAGCGGTAGTTTGTCGTTAGTAACTATTAAGTAAGCTGTGCCATAACTTTGAGTTTCTCGGAATTTATGTGCTAAATTTAATTTGAAATTTACTATTGCAGTCATCGGAAAATATTTCTGATCCTGGATTCTTCTCCGTATTTTTTCCAGTTTTCAATAAAAACATTATTGATACTATAAAACTGCCTTAAATATTTATTTAGTCACAAAGCAATTTCCACGTTTCATGGAGGAGGTAAATGATTAAATTGCCGTTCACAACATAGTTCCAAATAAAGTAAAAGCTTAAGTTTCAGATTCGATATTTTCTAATAAAACCCAAAGGCTTCTAAAATTAAAATGTTGGCGTTATTCATTTGTTTTCGTTATAACTCACAAACTCATTTAAGGGGCTATGCTTCTATAATAATTCATATTCAAAATTCGCCATTTATGAGGTTTGAAACTATAGTGAAACATAATCTCAATATTGAGTACTAAAAAAACCGACCTAAAAATTTCTTACATTGCATCTATTTGCCAACTTTTATTGAAATCGGTTTCCGGAAAATGCGCAAAACCGGATCCCCTAGTTTGCAACTATACAGGACTTAGTACATGAGATAATAAAAATCGGTGCTTACTACTTAAAGTGTATTGAGAGAAAAACGCCTTCAGTTGGGGTATAGCAAAATGAACCATTAAAATAATTGCTCCATATAAAATTTAGGCACTATTTATAAAAAGATGTCTTTACCCCTGAACATTCCGCCAGCCGTTGAAAGCTTGCCTTTGAACCTGTAAAAAAAACTTAAGAAAGGTAAAAAGTAAATAGGTATCGACCCGTTTCGCTCTTTTAGGTTATCTCGATCTAGATATTTAAAATAAATATTGAAAATGGTAAATGTTTATTCTGAAAAAGCAACTTTTGGGTCAATTCTTTCTTTCTTCTTTCTTATTATTCTCGGGAGAATCTATCTGCCTTATGAATGAGTAACAGAGTTGTGTCATGTGTCATGTCAAGTTTAATTTCCTTACCTATGAAATAAAGACATATTTAAGTTTGGAATTGAGGTTAATTTCGCATTCGCTTTGATCTCAAACAAGGATACTGCTTTAACTCGTGTAATTATTGAATACGCGTTCCGATGTGGCACTAATTCAGAGCAACGAATCGAAACATTAACGAAGTGTGTTGAACGGATACATCTACGTTGCGTTTTCGGTTAGTTTGACTTCGCAGTGAAAATCTCAAATGCTCCATTTGCACTAAATCGGTATAAAATTAGAAAAATGGGTGCTACACGAATTGTGCGCACTACAACTTAGTGTAAATCGGCAGATGGCAGGAGAGCATTGTAGAGGATTTTTAATTTTTATTTTTATATTTTATAATACCTAGTGACCTAGTGACGAACAAGTCATGCGCCTGGTGGTAGGCGACAGGCATCCATAACAGCTGCAGTGCCATTACGAACTTTAATTCGCAAAGATCTTATGGGCACTGACATAAGTTGGCAAGTCCCATGTGCCTGTAATTTCACCAGCAACTCTACCCTTTTAAACCGGAACGCAGTAATGCTCACATTACTGCTTGGCGGCGGCAGAAATAGATAATGTGGCAGTCCTGGACAAACTCTTTCACAAAGAGCTCTTCTGTTACTAAATTTTGTCCGCCGCCAGTACACTGATGAAGAATATTCCTCATGACACCGCTAACGTCTGCCAGCGTACCACAGAGTCCGCCAACATGCCACCGGTAGCTCGGATTTGATTCCTTTCCACTAGCGACTACGCAATCCGAAAATCCCTGGCAGAATTCGGTACCGGTGGAATTCGTTGCATGCCGGTGGATTCCAGCGCTTACCGGTGGATTCCGTCGCATACTGGCACCTCTTGCCGTGATGTCCTTTAGCGTACTCTTCAATACCACTAGATCTTCTAGGTCGGTCTCAAAGCACTGAAATTTATACCTTATTTCAATTGAAAGAGCAGAAAATATACATTGATAAATTTTATGTTCTCGTTCCCGTTCTCCGGTTTCTGGCCCTAACGGGCAAAGTGCTTTAAAACACAGTTTTAGTAAATCGACACATTGATGAAGGAGTTTTAGACCGCAGCATTACTCGATGAATAATGAACTCTTACGATAATCATAAACGATCTACAAAGTGGTTGAACCCTTCCGATAAGCCCAAACTGTATCCGAAACAGAAACTTACCCACAGAATATTGTTGGTAACTGTTTGATGGCCCAACCGCGGAGTAATACACCAGATAAGTTTTGATTGCATATTGCGAACCACGTGATATTAAAGCCATGTGATTGGCAGTTTAATTTTCTATGTCATTGTTAAGGTGATACTCATTGTGAGTTTTTGCGATTTGATCAAACGGTTACGGTTTTTACTATAGCACAAAAACGACCTGCTGTATAACGTGATAATGAAAAAACACCTACTTTTGCTTTTTAAGTTTTTGATACCATACTGATTTTGCCAATGAAATTATTTCTAATGTTCAATGTCCTAAATAACTAGACCAATCTTCTGGTCACAAATTAAGGAATTTCCTGTACCAGACCAACGAAATTCACTCCTGGGCACCACTCAGAACATCCAGACTAGAACCAGTTTAGAAAAGTTCATTCCTCAAATTGATCTTACCGGAAATCGATACCGGAACCTCTAAATCCAGCGCCTACAGTGCAAACCATTGGGTTACAGAGGTCATCGATTGTAATTATCATAGTTTTATAATTTTGTGACTGAAAATAGATTTATTATTATTATTTTACGTTGGAGAAACGAATCGGCAGGAGGAAGGCGAGAACGAGACACTGCGTTCATGTCTAACCAAGCAGCAAATTCACACTGCCACAGAATAGGTTTTGAATGAATCTTTCATTAATGCTTTTGGATACATAGCAACCAAAAAGTTTTCATGCGTTCAAGACCGACTTAAGTAATACAATATGGTATAAGAGCATATTAATAAAAATAACTAATTTATATATACATAAGCGCCATCTAGGGTTACTCAACTCAAAACATACTTTTTGGATTTTGTTGTTTGTAAATTGTCGATTAGTTCAGGAAAAAATAAATGTCTTGAGCTATTTCAGTCGACAAAGTCATCATTTTTTTCATAATGACTTTATAGTGAACTTCAAAACGAGCCAAGAACCATTATCTGCTTTGTTAAAAGTTTTTAACTCGAGTCGTTATCAAATGCTGTCCGCAGCGCAATATTTTCACAGACATAAAAAGTTACAGCGCTTGTTATTCCGGCTCTAATATCATCTAAATTACCCTCCACTTTTTCAACGCTCCCTTAAATTAGACGCGAAAAAATAAAATTATATTTATCTCATATTCAGCGGCCCACAAAATTGAGTTTTGTGTACAAATAAATTTAAGGCGGAATAATAAATAAGTTCAAAAGAGCGGAAATGTCACAAGAAAATACAATAAAAATAGTCTTGCACACGAGAACAAAATTCAGAAACAAGTAAATACAAGGTACAAGGTATTTATTTGTTTCTAGCAATCTTTTGCAGACGATCGTGGGATGTCATAATAAATATCTACTTGTATTTTTTGTAAGTACAAAATACAAAGACAAAAGACAGGGTACAACAGGTAGCAATATCCTTCAGGCAGCTTTAGGATATATTTTTAAATATAGTTACAAAACGCAGACACAAAGCAAATAGAAAAAATGGGTTATAGCAGACTAACTAGTTCATAGCAATCTCTTCTAGACAATCGTGAAATAACAAAACAAATACTATATTATTAAATTACGTATCGTCACGAACATCTGTGTGGCTACTCGCTGTTTTGACTCTCGTTCCTTTATTCTCATAATAAAAACAATAAACAGTACCGATTTCGCTTTTAGTGCTTAGGCACACGGCGTATTCTAAACGCAGACGACGGCGACGACGCGCAGATGAAGCGCGTTAACGCGATTCAAAGGAAATTTAGGCCACAAAATCGCAGGGGTGGTGCGTTCAGCGGCGCGTTGAATGTTTGCCCGTCCTTTGTTTTTTGCGTGAGACGTATCCAACACAAGTCACACGGCTGCGCGCAACGTACACACAGACCTTGAAAGCACCACCGTTCCGAATTTGTTGCCTCAATCGCAGCCAGTAAACTTTTGTAATATGCGCTTATAACGTCCACAAAAAACCAGCGTCACAGCCTAATGTCTGTTGTGGCATTAACTAAATGTACGGTCGCACACATATTAGTATTTCAAACAGTGTTGATAGTTCGTTTGCTTTTTGTCTTAATTTTATTTCCATTTTTTTTTCTTTTTTTGTGTATTTTTATGTTATGGCCTCGTAATAAATGTTTTCTATTCTATTTAAAGGACTGAAGACAATAACTTTTTTATAAAAAAACATCCTCAAAAGTTCGTGAAATTACATCTATTTATTTATATATATAGGCAAGTTTTATTGAAATCGGAATAAAGTGCGAAACCGGATTCATTCCTTAGTTCCACCCTTAGGGGTGGTACATTTTATTCAACTAAAGTGGCACCAATACTGAGATACTCTCTTTTGAACAAACAAAGAATCATCAAAGTCGGTTCACAAACGCCGGAGTAACCGGTTAACATACAAACACAAAAAAAAAGAAAAAATACAGTCCAATTGAGAACCTCCAAGTCTATTAAAAAATTAGTTTATGGTTGGCAACAGAATGAAACAAAATATAATGAATGTAAAATATAACAGAATAGAATAAGCTTTATTGCATATAAAATAAAACAGAGGCAATACAAAGACATAGTGAAAGGTGATAAACCAGGCAACCTTACTAATGAATACGGAGATACAGGTGAAGGGCAGTTTATGATGCCCTAAAGCAGCTAAACGTGTGACGATGTGCCCTCCTTCCATAGTCATCCCAACTTTGCATCACCTTTTCTCTGGTTCCTAGCCCCTTCTTTTTAACCTTTGAATCGTTCTTTTATTCCTTTGCCTCGCCATTCTCATTTCGTTTCGTTCCGTTATCTCTTACTGCTCGTTACAGCGGTTGAGTGAGTGAGAACTAACGGAATATGAATTGAACTTAAAAAAAATTATACTATCTATGACACGGTCATGAAAGAATTTGCCAATATGCGTAAGGTAGTCGCCGATTATTGCTCAGGGCACCAGACGAACTGGAAAGAAATCGCCGCGTGCGTTGTACGGGGTAGCTCCTTTCATATACCCCATAATATATACTTAAACAAGCTTCATAAAACATCGTATATAACTTACACACATAAAGCTGTAAACTAAATATAATTATGTCTTATACAAAACATAGAATACGCTTATAATACATATTTATAAACGATATTAAGTAGTAACACTATATTTTAGTAGCAGTAGAGCTCCGTGTGAAAGAGTTTATTCAGAAAAGTACTGCCACTTTACCTATTTCTGTCGCCAAGCAGTAATGTGAGCATTACTGTGTTTCAAAAGGACAAGGGTGCTGGCGAAATTACAGGCACATTGGACTTTTCAATTTATGTGTCCTTACACATTAATTGAAAAGTCCAATGTGCCTGTAATTTCGCCACTGTGCAGTGGCAATACCCCTCAGATCTTAGCGATTTAAAGCTCTGAGGGACACAATCGTCCTGTTACTTGTTATCATAAAACAAAAACATTAATTTAATTTGGATGATGAATACTAAACTGTGATGCTCTTGTTACAGATAAAATATCCACAGCACAGGGACTCAGGCATTTACGAGTGTCAAATATCAACAACGCCTCACATGAGTCATTTCATCCATTTAAACGTCGTGGGTAAGTACAACCTCTCTGCAGGAGTTAAATTAATTGCCACCGCTATTATTCGAGAAACATGAACATTATTAACGTTTAAACGTTTACCATCACACTTTGTGTTAGGGCTTTGTCTAAGGCTCTCATTTGCGTCACAAAATTTCGTTAACTTGGTAATGTTTACGTTTGTCGTGTTTGGGCAAGTCAGTTAATTAAGTGTGGCGTATGAAAGGCACGCACGCAAGTTTTCAGGCGAAAACAAAAACAACAAGTTTAGACCGTTCTCTTTTTGAACGATAAAACGATATTTAAATACAAAATGCTTAATACCAAAGTTTTCGCAAGGTGAATTTTGCAAATTTACAGAAGTTGTCCAACAGTTAATAACTTACTGAGAAGTACTACCGCACTGAAACATCTGCTTTTTGCATTAACACCTTGATATAATCACGGAACATTATAAAGACACAAATTAGAGCCCGACATTTTTATACTTGTTGCTAAATCGGCACAAACGTAGGACTAGTCTTGTAACTTGAAAAAAAAAAAACAAATGTTTCTATTTCACATTTTTGAAAAGAAAAACATGAAAAAAACACAGCGCCTGGTATTTTTTTCTAAATTTCTAAATTTGGTTTTATTTTTTTCGGAAAAAGTAAAATGGAATAACTTAAATAAAATAAGACACTAACTTTTTTGTTTTAAGAATATATATAGGTAAATATTTTGTTTGTTGTTATATATAACATGTTTATTAAAATCAATTACCATGGTAATTATACCAAAAATTTAATCTCCATTTGTGGTGTTACTAGAGAACAAATAAGTAACGAGAACGGACACTCTCCGCCCCTCCCTAGCTTTAGATACCGCACCACGTCCCGCACATTGACGGTCACTTTGACTGAACGAGAACAATGCTGTCGCCGAGCCGTTTTCGCTCTAAGACGGCTTTGATAATTGAATATAGTTTTCATTTAATCATTACGAAATTTGAACGTTAATTTATAACATCATTTTACGTTACTGTTTATAATGGCAGTGAATTGTGCTGTGTACGGCTGTTTATAATCATCTAAACGGGATAAAGAGAGTTTCTATCGTTTTCTGAAAGATGAAACGATGTAAGTAAAAAAAACTTATGTATGAGACTCATTCAGTTATTGTTTTGTTTAGTGCAGAGTAATATATAATACAGATTTATTATATCAATGTAATAAGACACCATAACTTGTGAGCTAGACAAGGGTTCTCGAATTTTCATCTTGTGTTGCCGATAAATATTACGTAGTGAATATACCTAATTATTAACTAGGTAATGTTAAACTTGGACACGCAAATTCAAATACCTTGGTTTCCTTATTTCAAGATATCAGTCCAAAATTGTCTCTATCTAGTGAAATATAACAAATCTTCAATATTATTCTAGTTAGTGTATTAGGGGTTAAAGTATGAAATTGCCGTTTTATTGCAATAGGTTTTTGAATTTTCATAGAATCTTCATGGTTTGAGGTTTTCGAATGAAACTTTTTTCAAATGATTTCTGTGATTTTTTTTTTTTTTAATTTGAAACATTTGAATATCGACTTTCAATTGTTTTTGTAATTCAATTTAGACAAGAAAGATGGATACTGCGAAAATTCGAGTGATTTTTGAATACGAGTTCCGACGCGGAACTAACGCGGCAGAAACAGCCCGCAATATCAATGCTGCGTTTGGAGAGGGGTCTACTAATGAACGCACCGTGCGATTTTGGTTTAAACGCTTTCGTGATGGAAATTTCGACTTAAAGAACGAGGCACGAGGAAGACCGCCCACACAGGTGAATAACGATGAATTAAGAGAGATAGTGGAAGCCGATCCTAGTCAAACTACCCAGGAATTAGCGGCATGGTTTAACGTTACCTTACCCACAATATTGACTCACTTGCGTCAAATCAATAAAATAAAAAAATACGAAAAATGGGTGCCTCATGATTTGACTGATCTGCAGAAAGAAACGCGTGTTGAAACTTGTGTTGCCTTGTTGAACCGGTACAGAAATGAAGGAATATTGGATCGAATTGTAACATGTGATGAAAAGTGGATTCTTTATGATAACCGGAAAAGAAAAATGCAATGGCTGACCCCAGGTCAAATGCCACAACAGTGTCCTAAAGCAAAACTTACCAATAAAAAGGTAATGGTAACTGTTTGGTGGTCTCAGCATGGTGTTATTCACTATAGTTTTCTCCGATCTGGTCAAGCAATAACGGCAGATGTCTATTGTGCCGAACACCGAACCATGTTGACAAAACTAGCAGTAAAACAGGCCCGACTCATGAATCGATCTTCATCATTATTGCTCCACGACAACGCGAGACCTCACACAGCACGAGAAACCATTTTGACCCTTCAGGAACTGCAGTTAGAAACCATTCGTCATCCTCCGTATTCACCAGACCTTGCTCCAACGGACTACCGTTTTTTTCGTGATTTGGACAATTATCTACGTGACAAGAAGTTTTCTTCCCAGGAGGCAGTACAAAATGCTTTCACACAGTTTGTGCAGTCTAGATCGTCGGAGTTCTATCGCAAAGGCATTAATAACCTTCCCATTAGATGGCAGCAATGTATAGATAATAATGGCAACTATTTTGATTAAATAAATTTGTTAAAAATTTAAAAAATAAACAATTTAGATTTTCAGTACAAATCGGCAATTTCATACTTATTATTATTAATGAACCCCTATTATTAATGAATAATATCATATTGTATCGATACAAATAAGTAATGAACATGTGTAATTATAAGAATTCCATAAATAGAATTATAGATAACAGATTCGCGTTAGAATTTCGCTATATTAATAGTACGAGCAAGTGATGGGTAACCCTGCCACTTCACGCACACATTTGCTCGTGTGCAGATAGCGCCTTGCTGTATGTAGTAGTAGTACGCAAATAATTTTAGGCCGTTGTATGGAGTGTCCGGGGTGTGGTGTTACTTGTATTACTACTGTTACAGGTGTTACCCACACTTGTAATGTTTTCAAAATTTTCTGTGTTTTCGTTTCCTTCATTCAAATCCTACCGAATAATTTTATATAAGCGGCTTGCTAATAATTCTATGTAAATGTTGCTATATAAGGGATATGTGCGATGTGGAAAAAAATATTGATATCGCTCTTAGATAAATAAATAAGTAGTGTTTTTATCGTAGCGTAGATAGTTTTACGGATGTTGTACGTAAAAAGTCGGCGTTGCTACTGAAGAGAATACGTGACAGCCCCAATAGCCTCCTGAAGACAGTTGCTGACAGCAATGCAGCACTTAATAAATAATACAAAGTCCCTGGTAAAATATAAGTACTAGTATAGTGTTAAGTTTGTACCTACTAACATTTGATTGGATCTCAGTTGTCTCAATAAATAAATTTTATTATTATATTATTATTATTATTCTCAGTAATCATCAAAGTAGCGATGCAACAGTAAGCGATAAATTTAAAAAACAAAGGTAAAATGTTAGAAGCCCCGCATTTTCCCCACATAACGTCAATCCCACAAAATGCCCAATCGAGTTGAAATTCCCCGCAATTTGGGGAATTCACCACAAATTGTCAACACTATGAGTGTCGTCCATTTATTTTGAGCAATTTGTCTATGAAGAATAATATTAACAACAAAAGACGAAATGTAGTAAAAAGTACAATTGTCATATTGTCATATTTTTATTTTCATACTTTTAGAAAAAAAGGTACTCCAGAAAAAAACGGTTTCTTTTAATATTTTTTTTTATTGTTTTTTTTTCTCAGAAAAAAGCGGTTTTTTTACAACACTACGTAGGATCATATATTTTTGCCGTCGTTACTAAAGTGACACTAAATAAAGGCCATATATTTTTGTCATCGCGACAAAGTGGGACCATAAATTATTATTGCCGTTGCCATTTTATGCAATTCAGTTTGTAAATTAATAACAACCGAAATGTTTATCGCGAGACGTTTATAATGGCGCAATAAAATTCTTAAATAGCCTCAGCTTATTAACAAATGTCTTTGCGTATAGCTGCTTTAAAAAAAGAAAACAGATACTTAATTTTCTTTTCATCTCTCTTTTTTATTTACTTTTGTTATTGTCGGTGATATCTAAATTAATGTACTTTTCTGTAGCAAACATCATCAACTCATTATACGTATTTTCCTGGTATGGGTCATTTAAAGGAGAGGGTTAAATACTATTCCACTACGCTTGTCTAATTCGGGAAGTAGTAGTTGTTGCTGGATAAGTAAGAGTTACAAGACCGAACTCCAGCGAGGCCTTGTGTTAATACGAGTCAAGCAATCTCCGTTCCCGCCAAGGCATGTATAGTGCTTTTCTCAAATAATGTGAGGAAATAATAGAAGACTAACGAGAGGTAGATAGAAAAAAGACCAAAGGCAACGACTTCTATCTAATAGATATAGTTGAATAAACACTACAGATTATTTCACCGCCTTTTTTAATTTTTTTTAAAGTAAGCAGTACATTTAGAATTCTCGCGATTGCGAATAGAAAGCAGCGGACTGTATGGTTTTTCTTTTGCCTGTTTACAAAGCATATTGTTAATAGATGTTTTAAAAATTTATATCAGCGGACAGTAATGGATTTTCATACTTACTTCGCAAGCCTTGGTCGGGAAGAATTCGCACGATCCATAAATGACAAACTTTCCGTGTTTGTTTTTTGAAAGTAATACAATTATTTCCGATCATGTTTGAGAAAAATAGTTTGATAAAAATAAATACAAAATATTATCAAAATACATTATCGAATAAAAAAATTACATGGCAAATTCTTCGTAACAAATACCTGTAGATTGTAAAATTCTTTATCCAATAAAAGGGGTTTTAGCCGGCTTTATAAAACAATTTTGGCGTTTATAACACTTTCAAACTTGCGGGTACAAAATGTACATGTCACTTAATGAATATCATTACACAAGAATCTTTCATAAGGATAGCCTGCTTGGAATACTTTAAATACATCCTAGCGTTTACATGCCTCCATGGGCAGTCGATATTTTCTAAAAACGATTAACCGCTTAAACTTCAATATCCAAGCTATATTCGACTTTATCGTCATTAGAAAAAGCTCAAATTGAAATTAGCTTGTTGTCTTTTGTTATTATAATGAATATTGTATCTTCGCAACTAGCTTAGGAATTTGCTACAAAAGTTATCGGAGATAACTTTAAAAGAGCTAAAAATATTCACTTATCAATATAATCCTTCGATGCTATCTCCTTGTCTATGATAAAATGAATACAAAATAACTATCGACTTCATGAAATATTTTTTAAATTCCAGTTTTATGAAAGAGACAGGTTTTCCTTTCCATTTTCCAAACTTTTTTGAACTTCCTAAACATTGTTTCGAAAATGTAATGACAAATTACACATTATTAATACAAAGATTGAACACAAAGAAAACTTCCTTCAATCCGGCAGGACTCGAATCAGCGAACCGCCATACCGGGGTTATAGCTCTCCCAACCGAGCTACGGAACGAGCCAGCTGACCTTACGAATTTCATGGTAGAACAACTAAAATATCACATTTATAAATTACTGTTTTGTCGCAGAGCCAACGACGGAAATCATCGGCGGTCCAGACTTGTACATTGATAGAGGCAGCACCATCAACTTGACCTGTGTGGTGTTGTACTCGCCAGAACCACCAGCCTACATTTTCTGGAATCATAATGATGCGGTAAGAAAATACAGGAGGGTACACTACGGAATGATTAATGGTACAGTTGAAAGAATGTTCTAATGACTTGTCGCTAGTTTAGAGGTTTCTTACCCGCATTATGACGTCAACGCGTAATGAAGGAAGTTAAGAAATCTGTGACTTGGGACAATCATTTAGTGAACAACCACAAAAGTCTGAAAATCTATATAGTTCTGAATGTGTTTAATGTAATAATATGTGCCAGATATCGATTATATAACCAGAAATAGAGACGAAATGTCATTTAATTTGCTAGAAAACTATTCTACCAAATCATTACTGTGAGTACTGCGCTCCGATAGGCCCGAGTTGATGGATGTCGTAAATTGTTTCCCTTCAAATCGACCAGTTTAAGCTTTGCTATAATGGATGAAAATTGCAAAATTATATATTTTACATTTAATTACCGGTGAAATGTGATTCCGTTTGTTTTGCAATTAGATATTTTGCTGTTTTTTCCCACACCACTGGATGGAACAGCCCCCATTGTTACAGATGTTTTTATTCATATTTATCTACATATTTATTTTATTCTTTATTACATAAAATATACCTATAGAATATTTTTGGAATATACGGAGACGTACAAACAGATTACTTGTATGTAGTGTTATAAGGCTCATTTTCCTGATGGGTTGCCAGGGATAGATGGCCCTTATTTCGATTCTATTTCTGGTTATGGTGCCAGACAACCACACCGATTGCCTGGTCTCAAATTAGAAAATTCCCTGTACTATGAATACCAGAGCAACGGAACTCATTCTGGGGCACTTACCATAACACCCTGACAAGAACCGATTTAAAAAAGCTCATTTTCCAAATTGGTTCTACCGGAAATCGAAACCTAGACATCCAGCGCCCGCAATATAAAGCGTTAGGTCACCGAAGTCGTCAATGTAGGACTGACTGACGATATCAATATTCGAATTATGCGTGTAGAAGAACTTTAACATGATGGAATCAAAATGTTACTAATTAGCCTTTTTAATAATGTAAACTGCAAATAGAAAGAAATAATAGATTACAATTATAAGCCTTAACTGGATGCTGATAAGCAATAACGTGTCAATCCTCAAAAACTTGAAATGTAGATTTTAATGCAAAATTGTGGCTTGTCGTTTCGTCTACATTTTACAGATATAAACTAAGTTATTTGAAACCTCCAAATATTAGAAAAAATGACAAAAACAGTTGAGATAAGTCTATTAACCAAAAACCATGAAAAAATCTTTAGGCGCCACTTTCTCAAAATTACGATCATATTACAATTATTAATACAAAGATCGAACACTCAGAAAAAATTACTTCGATCCGGCAGGGTTCGAACCGACGTCTTCTAGCTTACCGTGGCAGACGCTATACCAACTAAGCCACGGAACAAACCAGCGAACCTCACGAATTTTTGTATGTGCTTGGATCGTGTTTTTGTATTTGGTTTTTCAACGACTTTTTAGTCGTAGCGCCTTCTATGAGAAATCTATGAAAGATTTATAACCCAGTTAGTACCTTTACAGCTACCAGTCCAGGCAAGAGATGTCGCTATTCACTGTATTTTAAATTTTTATTGAATTGATATTCAATTATTATTTGTGAAATTACTCCACTACTTTGTTATAATTATTAATACGAAGATTTTTCTGAGTGTTCGATCTTTTAAATTGAGTATGTTTCGATATAACTTAACCTACAAGTTAATAGCAATCTGTGTTTTCAACAGATCATAAGCTACGATTCTCCAAGAGGGGGAGTCTCAGTAGTAACAGAGAAAGGAGAAACGACGACCTCGTTCCTGCTCATCCAGCAGGCCAGACCTTCGGACTCGGGCACGTACCAGTGCAATCCGAGCAATGCACAATCTAAGAGCATTGTTGTGCATGTGCTAAATGGTGAGTTTCTTCAATCCCCTTGTCCCCAGAGTGGAATGTTTTCAGCAAATGTAGCTCTTCTTTTATAGTTTACGTAATTAGTTTAATTTGGTCGTTTTTCTGTCATTATCACCTTAAGAGTTACACACTGCAACTTTTGGTCGCGCGTCTTTAGCGATGCAGTCGCTAATCGTTGTATTTACACACACGCACAACTTAAGCAGCAAGACAAACGTGATGCACGTTTTTAAGAGGGCACCAAGCTTCTGGCGCTAATTGATTTTAGGTATTCTATGCGCTCCGTGTATGTGTACGTGATGCATACGTTTTTAAAGCCACGTGTAAGCCGATGCGACAAAACCTCCACGTCAAACGGCCGAAGCAGAAATAAAGCGGATAGGGGGAAAGCGTGGTGACTCTGGTTAGTACGAGCGGACCGCGTGCGAATTTAGACATTTCCTTCGTATTATTAAAACAAATACATATTTTGAAAATGTACGGAGTATACGTTATAGAAAAGACGTGTTTTTATTATTATTACAAGACTGATGACCTTCCGTGAAGTATTTACGCCGTACGGCTTATTTTGGATTTTAGAGATAACTTTCGGATTTTTTTTCTATCGAGGTTACTACAAATACCTAATCGTGTTTCTACAATATATCATTTATAGAATGAATCCTTAAATATCTTATATATTATTTTCATAACGAAAGCTTTAGTAATAACGATACAGGTAAACGCAATCATTTCGCAATTACGTGTCGCTGCTTCGGCGTAGTCTCAATGATTCAACATTAGCAACGGAACCGATGGAATCGTGCATTTGCGTCGATGTATCCACCTATGAATCGCTACTGTCGTGATGCAATCACACATTTCACAAACGCGCGTTTGTACCCCTCCCATACAATCCTTCTAATTTAAGAGTGATCTTATTACAGCGCCCTCTTTATTTCTGTAACATACGTTTTCTTTTGCATTTTTTGTGCCATTTCACATCGCTTTCTCATATACGTATTTGTTTTTCTATTTTTAAAATTTATTGTAACGACTCAAACTATAACGATTATTTTGATACATTATCTTGTTACTCGATTTACGTTTTTCGTCGCTTTTTAATTTAAGCTGTTTTTTACAAATGATTTTTAGTATAGTTTTTAAGGAACACTAACAATTTTTTTTCAGAACTCGTAGTAATAATGTTTTTGCCGATCTCATATTTCTGGCAAAGTATATTTTCAGGCGTAATAAAAATATTTCGCCTACAAAATATTTAAGGGTCTTGCGAAATTAGGTATTCAAGGGCATCCTGACTTTGAAATAACTTCGCGAATGTTCAATAGAGATAATAAACAGACATTAAATTCACAAAATTCATTAGTAATAAATTTGGAAGATTTGCATTTCGATGTTGATATTGTTATTAACTTCAAGTTGATATGATTAATACTTATGAGATAAAATTGTAGAAGTACTAAGCGTACCTTTTATATTTTACTTATTTAGTTTTTATATATAACTGAATGTCAAATCTGAAGTATATATAGAAGTTCTTAGGTTTTCGGAATTGTTATACATAAGAAATGAAACTATTTTTCCAGATTTAAATCGCGAATATTTGTTTTTTCTCTTTACACGGTTGTCTCAACCGTCACCATGTGACTGTAAAGTGCCCGAAACGGTGGTTTGTTTGAAAAAACAAATATACGCTATTTAAATCCGAAAAAATAGTTTCATTTACTTTGAAATATATATTAATTAAATATGGATAGTTGTTATACCAACTATTAGAACTAACAATAATAATAAATATTATTTTTTTCAGTTTCAATATTATACCAATTTACATGTCCTGAAACATAAATGCCGTCTCTTTTACATTATTATTGTTTATTTACCTTTCTTCACTATATTTATTTTGTAGATAAAAAAATAACAATTATGCGCACAATAATATTTTTCGAATGATTTTTCAATATAATAAAGCAGTTTATGCCTTATAGTATACTGCCCTGGTCATCATAAATAACTTAATAGTCATTTTTAGCGAAATTGCGTTAATAACACATCTGGAATCAGCGAAACAAGATCTACAACCCTTATAAGCGGTTTTTTTATAACTTATTTAGTTTCAGTTATACGGTTCATTTTGGTTAGATTGAGCCTTAGCTAAAGCCATTTGAGGTAGTATAAACCCTTCAGCGAAATAAGCGTAGTTAACATTTTCAAAGAAAACCCTTTGGTGTCAATATCTCGAAACTTACCAAAATGTAACTGCGTTAGTTATATATAATAAGGAGGGCAATAACAGATCTCTGTCCTTGGTGTTATTGAGTTTGTTTGTACATATTGTTAATATTGAAATGAAATGCGTAAAAGAACAAAGGGTTTCCTAGAATAGTTACTTTAAAAGATCCCAAAAGTAATTAAAATCCACCGTCGTTTAAACCCTTGACAGCGTCCGTAAAAAGCATCCCAATCTCGCTGATAAACGACCCCAGTGAGATAGCGTAAAGGAAATAATACATTTTTAAAATCCCAGGGAAGAATGAAAATGGATAAAGACCATTATCGTTACAACAACGATAGTAATAAATCAAATACATAAAACGGTTGGGTGCGTTAATATTTTTTATTAGCTACAAAGGTAATTAAGCTGTGTGCGATAATAAATTTTGTTAAATTATGTGTTTATGTTTTGTACTGACGTTTCCGTGTTCTTTGCATTGCGTAGATAATACCCTTTATGAGCCTTGGGCTGGAATTTTATTTGGGTATGAAAACAATGTTACATTTTCGTATACGCTTAAGAATTATAAAATTATATATATATATTTTTATATAATAATCACTAATACTCCCGGACATATAATTGCAACCACCATCTTCAATATAAAATGCCCTGAGAGCGTCCAATTCTTATCAGGGGGTCTACTCTCTATCTCCGTCCGACATCCGTCCGAAATAATTACTGTCAAATAAGTAATATTCGACAAAATTAAAAGACAAGAATCAAGTATGAAGCTTCATTCGCATCACGCGTCTTTTCATGTACGATGTTATAAAATGCAAAATAACCCATACATCTACATTGTAGATAAAAGCTTGTGAAGCTTCCTCTCGATTTGTATGTATTAAGAAACGAGAAACCGTACAGTTTTGCAATATCACCGCCATACACTGAATAAAGCACCGCGTACCTTGAGCGGATGAAGCCAGGATCTGCAGGATTACAGCGGCCAGCTAGCACTACATGCTGCAATTTTGATTGACACCGATATTTTGGTCGGCCGTTTATTTAATGGGCAAATTTACTATGCTAATCTTGATATGTAAGTTTAAAACAACATTTTGGCGGTCTCGTAGGGTTTTTTTTAATGTAAAAAATAAGTGCGCATTTGACCTCCATCTCACCTGATGCAATGTGATGATGAGGTCGACGATGTAGCATGCACCCATAAATAATGATTATTCACTCTCGCCTTAAAAAGGTCCAAGTTATAGCGCTCGGGGAACAAGTCCACTCACCTGCCGCTCTCTATATAAATGTGGAAGCGAAAAGCTTCGTGCGAATCCTGCGAATATCCACAACATAGGGGTGAAATCCCAGCCCACGTCTAGTCCCCCGATAATGGAAAGGTAAAACCGCAATCAAATTATGCAATTCCATCGCCCACTCTCCGTGATATATCCTGTAGAATACAGATAAGCAGGCAACTTTACGGCAGTGTTCAAGGCTCTGCAGCTTCGCCTCTACTAATTCCGAGTCATCTATAAGCCTCTTGACACGCTTGTCGATTGAATCCAATGTGGCCAGTTGGTATTTAGCAAAGCCATAAGTGGCAGCAGTACTCCGTACACGATCAAACTTGCGCTTATTTTAACTATTTTGAGTATTATAGAGAACACCAGGCATCTTTGCATTCTTAACTTGGTGAGCAGGGTCGAAACTGACCCGTAGTGCTTATGCGCGTCAATAGGGAGCACCGACGTGTATGACATTGCAAATAGCGCGAAATTTAAAAATAGAACTTATATGAATATGAAAACGACACACTAAAGTTAAACACTGTGTCATTAGACAAAAACTATTGAGCAATTTTGAAACTGGCATAATAAACGACACTACTATTCTTGTTAAAAAATGTAATTTGTAAAACCGGTGAACTTTTTTATGCTAACAATATTTTTGTATTATAAAGAATGAAAACCCAAGGTGGCTCGAATTACATGTCCGGGAATGTATTATTTTTAGTACCATGAGTGACACGAAAACGCGCGATTGTATCGCTGCACTTGCAATTTATAGGCGACTGCATTGATACAAACGCGCGATTGCATCGATTCAATCACCTTTAAATCCCAAGTGTAGTAATAGAATCGCGCGTTTGTATCGATGCAGCCGCGTGCCTGCATCGCGTTTGCATCGCTGTTTAAAATCGCACGCGTGTTTAAAAGTAGACTTAGATTAGCGACTGCATCGCGTTTGCATCAATCATTTTTTTAAGAATCGTGACGTCATCAGTTGAATATGTTGGAATTATTACTTAGCAAGTTCTATTTAGGTACGTCAATCATATTTCTCGCATTTGATTGTATTCATTAATCTTGTCGCTGTTTCCAAGTTTGTTTCTTAATTTTAGAATTGTAGGGTTGTCACATTCACTATTTCCTTTATTATGCCATTATTGTCTCGACACGTATAGAATAGTCTAATAGCCTTTTCCGATTTACACTTGAATTGAGAATCATTGATAAAAAGAGTAGCACTGAGTTGAATTTGAACCTAAGTATAAAGCTGGCAGTTCTATTGATTGTACATCATACACTAAATAACAAGAGCTTTCCAGAACAGCTTCTCAAAACACCCAATTTGTCAGGAATATGTAAATGAAAAACAGATGCATTACTGACGCAAAGCTGAAAAAGCTAACCACCAATAAAAAGCACGTTGTCTTATTTAACACATTCTGAATATAGGTGTGTACGTAGTAAAATATTTGTTTTGATTTGTGTCACTATTATTGAAAACTAGCGATATGAAGGTTTATTAAATTTAGGCTCCCACAATCACAAAGAACTAACATCCTTTATAAACAACACGGGAATCGAAATCAAACCTAGCACGTATAATATTACTAGCACCAATATCAGGATCCAAAAACAACACGTCCACATTTACTTCTCTGATAATATCATTTAAAAATTTCTTAACTATGGTATTGTTGAGAGCAGTTTTAATTTTTTGCCAAAGAAGCAAATTCTATCTTTCCATTGTCAGGTGAGTACCCTGCGGCGATGCAGCGTGGAGGGCAAGCATTTGCGCCGACGTCGCCTGCCCATTGTATCATCCTGGTCGCCTGTCTCCTCATTACGCTGTCTTGACATATAGTGACAAGTAACAACGTGTAAATAAAAGAATTTTATTGTTCTATGATGTTTGTATTGGTATCTGAATTACTCTAGTTCTCATTTCATTACGTTCTCATTATTTAATGGAAACTTTACTACCTACTGTATTTCACACGCTCAATAATTGTAAACTTAACAAGAGACTGTTTTTATCCTTGGTTTGTATCTCAATTGCGGTTTTTATTATATCATGCTATTACTACCCCATCAACTATTATTACCTTAGTTGGAAGTAATGTACAATTATATCCATATTATATCTAGACTCATATTTCGAGGAACACTAAAAAAGGTTAAATTATGATGAAATTATGAATAATATTCATGTAAACCATCACCATTATGCTATTTATGAGCGATGCTCTTGTTTATAGTCACTAAGGCATACAAAACGGTTAAAAGCCCAAGTAACCGCTTATTTTGGAACCGGTTTTCAACTAAGGAAAACCGGGTTTTTCGGGATATTCTATTTTGTCGTAAAACTATTAAAATGTAATTTCGTAACTCAAAATATCATCTTACTCAATTAATAATGTTAAATAAACCCTACCTCTAAATGCTAGGAACTCGGGTACTTGACTACAGTACAACGACAGCGTTTGCAAAACGGAGGCCACTTTTGGGTAGCGAGAGATAACCTATATACGCGCGCAATATAGCAACAACAACATTAAATAAAATCATTGTGCTTTGATTTTTTCTTTCCTGTTCAATGTTACCGTTTTAGGAACATAGTCGGCGGTAGCTTGCAAAAGTTAGGTTTTAGCGACAAATTAACTTAGAGACATAGCTTTTTCGACCCATTTTTTTTACAGTAATAAAAACGTGACCCGTCAATCAAATTAAGTAATTGATTCGTATGTCCGATTTTTAAGCCTATCACTGATATCACTATATTATTATGGACTAAAAAAGATGTTTCATTGGTTGTCTCTAAATGCATATTTATTTTAGAATATTTGTGTTGTTGATCGATTTCATTAGCAGTATAAATAATAATCTATAAAACGCTTATTTGATGTCTTTTTAATTTTTTGACAATTTTAAATTATTTGGGTGACCATAGAAAAATACCCGATAAAACCGAAAAACCAGGTAATAGAAAATTAAAAACCGAAAAAATCGGTTTAAAAAATCACTCGGTTTTTGTATGCCCTAGTTGTCGCATCTCCCGGCTAATAGTCAGCCCTTTAACGCCTATAGAGCTGCTTACTTTTAACGTTCGTCTTAAGAACCAATAGCCACATACACCAGAACGTTTAATCGACGTTTAAAAGACGATTGAAGTCATTCTTTGTTTCACATGAAACGTTCCGTTTGGTCAGTTTTTCATACGAACACTGTTATCATAGTTTACCCTTTTTATAGCGTTCCTCTAAATATGTCCGTAAGTGTATGTTTGTGTTTATACTTGATTTTGCTGGGTTTTTACACATTTTGTAAGAAACAATTGTAATTTCTTCAGGGTTATAATGTAGTATATTTCTTTTATCTAAAAATTACCACATAATTTACGATTAGATAATTGCACAAGTAAACACATTAGCGGGAGTTCGTAATTGCATATGTAATGATGTAACGTTCGCATAAAAATCAAAACAAGTAAACATAACAGTTGTTCCTAAACAATGAGATAATGATTATTTTACGTTGGGTTTTAATCACTATCATATAAGTCTTCTTCCTCTGAAGTGTCATAGTATCAATAATCAATTGTTCGTTGATTAGATCCATTTGCTCTTGACATTTATATATAATGCTTCGCATATATAAAGAAATGTTCTGTTTAGCAGCATATCTTTTCACTGCTGACCAAATATTTTCAATCGGTATAAATGTTGGATGATATTTATAATTGGAAATCGTAAAACCGTATGCAGTTAATGCCATAATTCTTGACGATAATATTAGTGAATCTATCTTACAAATTGCAACTAAATATATCGCAGTATTGTCCGATCCAAACCGGATAGAAATCCAGTCTAAAACTCAAATCAAAAATATAAACAACGTAAATAAAATTATTTTCATGTAGACATTGACATTGACTGTTGTTTATCTTTACTTTCACAAAACATAATAACCCTCGTTTTTGCTGATATATGTTTTTGCGTGTTTTCTGTAAACACACTAACACTGCTACGTATGCAATTCCGAGCTCTCGCATTGGTTCTGTTAAGAACTATATCAATTCAAATGCGAAACAAGATAGGTACATGACTTTACCTGCTTTAATAGAAAATCTTATATATTTAACATAAATACTTTTTTGACTAACATGAAGTGCTTTATGAAATCCAAAAGTTTAGGATGTAAATGACGGGGTAGCACACATAAATAGCAAACTGTTATCATTTCAGCTTCGTCGTAATCGGGCAAAAAAGTTAATGGCTATCGCAGTAACAAAGACGGATTTACGATAAAGTTCAAATTGGTTACTCAGATTATCGCATTCGAATTTTGGTTGCTACACTTTTTGTGGCTAAGCTACCTTAATCTCCAATTATTAACACAAAGATTAAACACAGGGAAAATCAGGGGAAATCCTTTGATCCGGCTGGACTCAAAACAGCGAGCTTACTTCTTCTTGTATCGTATCGATGGCATATACTATTGTGGCCCAGAACACGCCGACCGCCTCATTAGTAGCCGCCATTACATCCCGTAAGTCCCCACCTGAACAAATTGTCCTTACTCTGACCAACCTAAATCCAAAGCCCATTTAAAGACTTCCAGATAGGCCATGGCAATTCGTGTCCAGGAGAAAGACTCTCAGAAGGCGGGCCAAACGTGGATAAGTATTATTTCACGCCAAAGGTTACACCTAGTTTGAGCCGGCTCAATGCTCAGAGGATCGATATATTTGACGAAACTTTTCCGGCTCCTCAGTCTATGTTGAGTGATCGTGCATAGGGTATGTCTGGCGGACCTATGCCAGCCAGTGGGTACAGCAATCTTACCGGGGTCGGTTTAAGACAACCAGTTATTATCCGGCAAGTCTCATTTAAGGCCACTAATTTTATATGGATAGAACGGCTCCAAACTGGGACAGCAACCTCCCCATACCATGGCTCTGACGCTTTCCCAACTGAACTACAGAACGAACCAGCAGACCTTACCAATTTCTTCGTGTGTTTGTTGCAAATCTTTAATTTTTGGTATTAACGACTTTTTTATGCTGTAGAGCCGTCCGTGAGAAATCTATGAAATTTTTTCTTCACTCCGACATCTTTACAGAGCGACCAGTCAGCCACGATATGGCGAGATCGCTGGTTAGAGTCTAGCTGGATCGAATGAAGTTTTTTTTATTCGATCTTTGAATTAATTAAATATAACCAACTAGTGCAGTAATTTCACACAAATAATTGAATATCATATTTTATCGTGGTGGTATAACATTTCTTTTTCTTTCTTTTTTATTTATTGTCACTTCCTTTTTATATTCCATAATAATTTTAAGCATTTTTAAGAAAACCTCAAGTCAAGTACTTTATACTGTCTTTTTATTGATAATTGTTATTATAAAATTGACTAGGCGTAAACCTGAAACTTTGTTTAATTATTCCATCAGATATCAATACATACTGTGAGAAAATGGATATTCGCTATTTTATAGTGTGGGTTGTGTTTTGTACAATATAAAAATCTACCTAAAAATCCCTGAGCAAGTAGAAAAAGCTTGTTTCTGATAGACTTTGTATATAATGTAATATAAGGCTATTATTTCTGTTTTTTAAGCTAAAGTTTACGAAATAGTCATTGTTGATTTATCCATTGCCCGTGTATTTAAATTTCGTGTTATAGTATTGGAATCTGTTAATGTAAAAATAGATTGAAGGTCTAAAAAAATAATTACGATGCATAGAATGTTTCGAAATGGAGGAGGATCATTTTGAAAACTCAGAATTATGTAAACATTCTGTTCTAAACGCTTAACTTCACCTAATAACATATAAAATGGTGAGGAATCTCAAACTTGCTGTAACGCTCCGTCGAGTTATCTATTTTATTAATTATACTCGTTTCATTGGAATGGGAATGTTGATAGGAATTTGGGGAAAGGTCGACTTGGGCGAATATATGTCATCCGGCATAAAAGTCATAAAAGGCAGGTCAAAAATATCAATAAACCGCAGAGAATGAAGTGAAGGTGTATCAGGTACATAGAAAGTGAGTATGTACTTGACTACCTCAACCATCGGCCGTCTCCCTCACACACACACACACACACGCAGACATATACACGTCTGTGTGGAGTACTTTATACAGCAGTTGTGCCTTTTTTCGTTATATGTTTTTGTGCAAAATTGTACTTTAATACCATCTCCGAAAAGCGTTTAAGGTAAAGTTTAAGTGTATTGCACGATCTGAGCCTCTAAAATGTCACTTTAACATTTTGAAACATTCCGTATAACTTTAGAATCAATTTCATTTGCCGATATAAACAATTGGGAATAAAATTAAAATAGAAAATTAGAAGCAGAAAAACCGACGAGGGAAGAAAAGTGACACAGGAATGTAAAATCAACTGACAATACTATGATAAAAAAACACACAAAATGTTTAGAATGTGACTTGTATATAAAAATAAAATTAAAGTTATACGAATCATTTTAGCGTTATATTTGTATATCTTAAGAAATGTAAATTTATCTAAAAATAAGTATTAGTAAATATTTGTGGAATTAGCTATAATTATATTGTATATAATGTGTATAAGAGCGCTTACAACACAGGTGTCTTAGAAAATTAATATTAAATTATATTTGTATTCAAGACTAAAGATACGTTACGGTTAAATATAACTTAATCTAAATGTATCTTTAGCCATTTATATATGACGAAGATTTTTTTATTTAAAATAAAATGATATGTGCTAATGTGTGCGTCGGTACACGGCACGCGGCGGGCACACACACAAATAAACGATTTCGTTTCTATAGAGTTACCAGACTTGTCTTATTACAATACTGTAGAGTGTATAACTACCCCTAATAATCAGTTATTGCTCGTAATAGCCAATAAGTATTTTATTGCTAAAAAAATTGCATTATTTCAGTTTAAAAAATTAAGATTCCTGTGAAATAAGACCTCGTGTAATTAAAAATATTAACAAATAGGGTAGTTATGATGTAAGCATTAACGTAATTAGGATCGAAAGATATAAATTTTACAGAATAGTTAGAAAAGAATTCTTATTTAATTATAATGATATACCATTTATATCTTAAAAATTCTTCCCTTAACAATTTCATCTTTATATTGGAAAATTTGAGAGCATTACTGGTATTTTTTCTATAGTAATAATATCTGTTATTAACGCAGCATAAAATTTTCAACACATTATTATGGTACAAGTCTTAACGAGCCAAACAAGAAAAAAAATAACTACGAATTTTTTTGATGATAATATTTGTGGCCCAACTGTTTGCACTGTAGGCACTGAAGAAGGAAATTTTGAAGTCGATTCCCGATCGAATCAATATTGGGAATGACCTTTGCTAAATTGATTCTAACCTGGGTTGTTCTGGGTATTGGTCAAGAGTGAATTCCGTTACTCTGTGTCTCTTACTCATATCCTTATTTTGAGTCGAGGTAATAGATATGGTTGTTTGGCACGCTATTATATAATGTATTTTTTTATAAATTACGGGGGCCTATACCAATAATGACGATTTATTTTCTTTCAATAAATGTTTGTGAAGAAAAAACTGGAATAAGTTTAAAAACTTATTCCAACTTTTCGTGGAGTTTACGTTTCGAGGAATAAAATTATTATTCTTCCTCATTCTCACAAAAATGTTAATATATACCTAAAAACTGTAGTAAAAAACATCAGTATTGCTATCAAGTTTTGAACTGAAGTAAAACGTTCTTAAAAGACACGTGATACGGAAAAACGAACGTCTGATTTTATTCTTGCAATGTCATTTTGTTCATTCGATCTCGACTCCCCGTCCTAATGTGTTAAAGATGCAAATGTAATCATGTATAAGTAAAAACTAAAGTGCTTTTAAGACAGACGCTGTCGTTAAACACTAAATAATTCTCTATTAAAAATTATTTTCGTGGACAGTTAAAATATATTCGACAATATCTTATCAAAAATATGTTAATATCGTATAAAGTGATTTATAAATTCCTCGTTCAAAAATTTGTTAGTGTGTTTTAATATGCGATATCTAAAAATGGTCAATAGTTTTGTGTATGTGATTGTAGTAGGACACTCCTAAAAATATACAATAACAACATTCCTTAGTCGAGAATTGTACTTAAGATTATTTACATGTGTTTAAATTGACATTTAAAAATCAAACGAGTTGGTTTTAATTGAGCTGAGGGGTGACCGGAGCTCAGAAAGTCATTTAACGTAAGCAGTTTTTCATCGTACGGGTATGGTAATATTCCCGAGGACACCATTTATAAAACGAACTTTGAGTTCGACTAAGCAAAAATGGCGGGCTAAGAAAGTTTTTCGTATTTACAAAACGAACTTGGCCTAAGTGTAAGCATAAAATTATAAAGCAAACTCAAAGTTTAATTTAATATCTTGTTTAAAGTTATGCTAAGTTCGTTTTGTACATACGAAAAACTTGTTTAGCTCACCACTTTTGCGTAGTCGAAGTCAAAGTTCGTTCTATTAACCTTAGTATTAGCCTTAGTTCACGATTGAAGGTGTCAAAACTGACATATTAATCCGCGGTCACCTCACTGTAGTTACTTTTTGTCACTATTATTTGACACGTTATATTAATAGAGATCCAGTATTTCGCATTGTTTCATATTTTATTAAAATATATTAGTTGTTTTTATAAGCTTTGAAATCGACACCTACATTGAAAAATATTCATTTTTCTTAATTATATTTTTGTTATGGACAATTTTTAGACAACCGACTAAATAAATAATATATACTTATACTAAAAGTATATTAAAACTGTCCACAGCTTGATTTATACGTTGTAAATAAAAAATACTGTCCAGTTTCGCTAAAATCAGCTGTCGAAGAAATTAAAAAATCATTGAATGTTCTTTGTGTATATATCAGACAAAGCTCGAGTAAATGTAACCAGTTATTATTATGTCAAGAGTTTATTATTGTATGTAACAATAGCATTAAAAACTTGTTGTATGTAATAATACCAGACGGAGCGGTATGCCGCACAATATAAAATTACATGTGTAACAAACATTATAAAGAAATAATAAAGTTTAAAAAAAATTGTGTTTTCTTTTCCACGAAGATAGGAGAATTTTTCTTTGACAACTTTTCAAGAGAGCGGAAGAGACACATTTTTCAGCACATCCAAATGTTGTAGGTCAACAAATCGGATCCAGAATGGATCCCATTTGTAAGACTATTTTATTTCCATTTTCAAATCAAATCAATTTTTTTCTAATGTATATAATATCGTATGTATGTCGTACGTTCTTAATGAAATTAGAAGCCTTTACAGTTTCAAGATGTCTATATCTCCATTCGCCTGTCTGTACGACAAAACTATTTATGTCTCTTGTAAGAAATTTAGTGCGAAGGCCAAAGAAAAATATGAAAGAAATAACCAAATACAGATTTTTTGAAACCTCCTCTCACGCGCAAAATATTACGCCGATGTCATTGAATAGAGTGTCGTTAAGTTTTTCAAACCGCAATAAAACTGCCATGTTGAACGTGAAACATACGTTATAAAAATCGTTTTAGGGCGTTACCACCCTTAAATCTTGAACTACAATTGCTCAATTACTAAATTTTCTTTGATTTATAAAGAAAATTTAGTATTTTACCTCTGAGTTCATACTTTCATTTAAAATTTTAATAGGGCTCTAGAGAAACACCTAGGATTTCGTATTAGGCATTTTGGAGCTATATGTTGATATTTTACTTTTTTGACCTCGTCGAAAATGTATTTATTTTTATAGGTATGTAAACAGCAGCAGTGAATAGGATCTTAATGAGTATTTGCCTATTAAAATTGTATTCCATATGAAATTGTTATAAAGAAAAATATTCAATATGAAGGAAATCAAAACGTTGCCTAATTTGTAAAGTTTATTTATTGAAAATGATGCTTGTTAAAAGTTTCAAGGTAAGGTTTTCCTGAAACCGTGGTAAGTACTATTGGAAGAATTTTTTAATACAGTTGCTCGAGAAAATGTACTTTCTATAATAGCGAAGAGTCGGAGAAGTGGTGCTTGTCCGAATTGTAACAGAAAAATATATTTTTTACATTTACCTTTTTATTTTATACTAAATCCTTGAAGGCAAATTTAAAAGTTTATAATCGAGTTCTTGAGTTTTCGCTATTGCCATTCATTGCAAATAGGAGTGTGTCCATTTATACAATATTTAAGCTAGCGACCTAATATAGGGTGCTCTCTTTCGCACTACTTCATAAAAATTACAAGGACATAATGTAGAGACACATGGGTTAGTGGGTATTAACAAACGTTAAATATTAAGCGCTCGTGCATAAAGGTGTTAACAAACAAAAACATATATTTTCAAGAAAGTCAAA